ATAAAGCAATGATCACTTGCACCCAGATGTTCCCCAATTTCTACCCTCTCAATCACTTCTGTATTTGAAGTTAACAATTAATTGACAAGTTCATCAACCAACCACATCTAATTTATTGATTAGTGAATCCCACCAGCATATACAAGCAAAAAGAAAAATGTTCTGTGGTAGTTCCATAACTTTTTTAAACACTGCATTATTCTACCATGGTATTCACAATGTTTCATTTTTTTAAGAAATTTTCTAATTACTTTAAGTTGTTTAAATTACTAATTTTCATGTGAAAGATCTCTTCTGAAAGTCGTCACTTATGCATTTTTACCTCACATCTGAACTGATGAAATTTTTATTTCTTTGGTGAATATAAAAATATAAAACAAATTAATATTTGCAAACATTGCAATTCCATAAAGCCATAGTAAGTCTGTTAATAAGTAAAAAACCTTATGTTAAACAAAGAACCAAACATCTACAAGGTACCTTTATTAAGCCTTAAGCAATCTCCAGTCATGCAACTTGTTTGTTTCATACTGTATATATATTCCTATGTCTAGGTACAAGTAGTATCCTGTGTTAAACCTGTAATGAATTTAAAAAACAAAACAGATCCAAAACTCCAGCACTTTTGAATAGTTGACTCTTTAACTACTCAAAAATACTCAAGTTTTAGGTGTTTTTTTAATTCATTGTACCTAATGTATGTGATCCTGTGTGCTAACTCTTTTGATCAGAAGTGTTAATTTGTAATAGTTTTCTTTGTTACCCATTAAACCTGTCTTACCTGTATAAGCTTGCCTACCTTATCTCAAATTATCTGTTGTCTTCTCATTGAAGAAACTTTCTGTAGCCAAAAATCTTAAATATATATATTTTTAGTCTACTGTTACATAATAGTCTAATTCTTGTTCTAGCCAATTATAGTTAAACTTTCTTTATACCTGTTTTTAAAGACATGTTTTATTGATAAATTATCAAACCACTTGATGTGGCACCATTGCACGATTTCAATGGAGGCTTGCACAAAAACTAAAGGAAATGCTTGAAATTCAAGAAATGGATAATATATTCTCAAAGGGTGAAAGGTTCTTAAGAAAACTAGTTATTCTTTAGGATGTGCAGAAAAATAAAATAAATCACCAAGTACATTATTTTGTTTAAAGATAAAACTCTCTTTAGCTGTGTAGAAATGAAAATATGAACTTTATTTTTCTTCATGAATTACACAAAATATTGATTCTAAAATATTTCTAAGTTACAACTGTTTTTGGAATAAATATATAAATTGTCTGAAAAATTATATCAGATGGTATAAATGACTGTTTAGTGTAGATATTGTTGATTAATTTATTTTGTGAGTGAATATTTTATTAGTTTAGTTTTGTTTATAATAAGAGAGCTAAATGCAGATGATTGTTGGAAGTTGTGTTTATAATTCAATGATGCTGAAACTATTGACTATTGTGTGCAATACAATGACTTTGAGAATATAGAGATTTCTATAAGGCAGACAGATTGTTACGTGATAAACATATAAATAGTAGCAAAAGAGAGTAAAGTCACAGCAAAGGAAAA